GGAGGAGGAGGAGGAGGAGGAGGAGGAGGAGGAGGAGGGCTGGGAGTCTCAGGTGCACGAGGCAGGCGGGCGGGCGGGCGGGGCGGGTTCTGGAACCCTTTCTTAGCCAGCCCCAGTCAGGAGTTTTCTAGAAACCAGAGCCGAGAAGGATAGTCCAATTTCCCCGCGTAGGCAGGACGGGTGCCTGCCTCGGGGAGGAGGTCTTGGTGTCCCTTCCGCCCTGTCCTGCTCCGGGTCCCCATGGGAGCGGCCTGGCCGGCTGCCCGTCACCGGCCGAGTGCAGAGAGGCCGGGAAGGCCCTGGAGGGCTGCCCAGGCCCGGCTCCTTCCCAGCACCAGCGGGGAGGAGGGGGTAAAGAGGAGGAGAGGGACTTGGGGAACCACAGGTGTGGCTGGCCCAGGAGGGTGTCAGAGGAAGGGGCCGGGTGAGGGCCCAGGGGATCAAAGACAATCTGCCCCCGACTCTTTTTACTTCTTGCTCCCCTCCCTCCTTTCTACTTTTCAAAAAATCCCCTAACAGCCAGAAGTTTCCCGGTTTCTGGGGGCACTAAGCCCTGTGACACCATTGGTTGCTGTGCAAAAACCTCGCTCTCTAGGGAGCAGGCAAGTTGCACAGCGACCCATTGTAATGACACATCCCTGTATCCCGGAATTCCAGAGGCTGAGCTGAGACAGGGCCATTGGCATGACTTCAAGACCAGCCTGAACTACAATGTAAGGGAGATTCTATCTTTAAAAACGAACACACAAAAGCCAGACGTCTGGAATGGAGGGGGTGAGCAGAAAGGAAAAGTGGGAAACAGTGATTTCGCCATTCAAGCCCCAGGCTGGCCCATCGGCTTCCTCCCCCATGTCCCGTTCCCTGTAACTACAACAGACTGAGAAAAGATCAGGCAGTGGAGGGAGCAGTCCCTGATAAAGGGTCCCAAGATGGCTTAATTTTGATGTAGGGCTTTATTAATTATGCATGTAGAATGATGATGTGGGGTTTCAAAGAAATAATTTTATTTGGTACAGTTTAGCCTTGACCACATGGACATCTGGATCTTCCATGATCCTTTTCCCCCTCCTGGCCACCTACAGACATGAGTTCAGGTGTGTCACAGGCTCATCAGGGTTGCAAAGAGTTTTAAGGGCCTCTTCACCTCCTGTTTCTCAGAGGACAGAAGCTTGGGTGGCCCAGCTCACTCAGGCTTCGAAGCTCCGGATTCTGCTTCTGCCATGGAGGCCCAAGAGAAACCCACAGTTTGAGCCTGCTTGGCCTTCAGCACTTGAAAGACAAAAGATTGGGCCCGAACAGGCAGCTGTGAGAAGTCACTGGTGAGAGACAGACAGGCACTGGGCAGGGTCCTGGGCAGATGCCTGGACAGAGGCTGGCCCCAGAAAAGCTAGCCAGAGATCACCAGTTGTCCAAAGATTCACATTCAGATATCTGGATTATGGTAGTGCCCTCTGGTTTGAAAAACTACTGTGAGAGCGGACTTTCCTCTGAAGAAAGCACCTGCAGGGACTTAATTTGCCTGCCTTGTGGGTGGGGGGTGACCAGCTCTAGAAGTCTGTTTATGGGTAAGCACAGTGTGGTATGACATGTTCGTAGTCCTAGCACTCCAGACACGGAGGCAGGAAGAGTGTTATGAGCTTGATGCAGCCTGGGCTACACAAATAGACCTTGACTTAAGAAAAAGGAAAGAAACAGTCATGTGGTGCTGCCTGACATCTGAGCATTTTGGCTGAAGCAAGGACTCAAGGTCAGCCTCAGCTACATAGTGGGTTCAAGGCCAGCCTGAGCTACAGAAGACCCAATCTCAAAAATAAAAGGCACACACGCACGTGCACACACACAGGCCTTGCCACAGCCATACTCTCTGCCACATATCCCACGCTAGCCAAGTGCCAGCATGACCCTCAAACACAATACACAGGTCACACCTCAAACAGGACAGTCAGTGTGTGAATGTAGGGCTCCTAAAAGCCTAGAGAACTTCTCATATGATCAAAAGACCCCAGAAGGGTAGAGCCAAACCTACAAGATTGTCACTGAACACCCCACCCCTACCCTACCCAACCATTCATCTCAGACATAGATCCCAGAGGCTCCTATGGAAGGCCTGAGGCAAAAGGGTCACCACAAGCTTGAGGACAGTCTAGGTTACATAGTAAAATCTTCTCTCAAAAAAGGAAAACACCTGGTCTGATGGTGTAACCTTGTAATCCCAGCACTCGGGAGACTGAGGCAGGAGGATTGTCACATGTTGGGGGCCAGCCTGAACTCCATGGTGAGACCCTGTCTCAAACAAACGAAAGTCATAAATGGACACAGAGAAAAGTCACACACGGGTGGCAAAGGGTTCTCATGGCGCTCCAAACATAACTAGATCTCAGATCTGACAGGGCCTCAGGGGAGCACAGAGGAACCCATCTGGCCAACAGACACCAGGCTTTGGGGACTGAAGACAGCGCCACCTGCTGGTGGGATGGCGTGTGAGACCACAGGGCTCGTAAGAAGAATCTGTGGATTCTGGAACTGTAGACAACACCAGGGGCCCCCACAGAGAAACCTGTCATTCTGGAACCCTGTAGAACGGCCAATGCGCCCTCAAACACGACCATCCTGGATTGGAATCCCATACATGGCACAGGAGACTCTGGGGAGGCCCTGGGGAGAGCTGAGGACCGTGGCTGCTCTCCCATATGGGCTCCATGGGCGTTAGGACTTAGGGGTCAGAAAGGGGTTCCGGCGGGACACTCAGGCACGCCGGGCGCCTGGCAGCAGTGCGCTGTCAAACTGGTAGGTGAGCTTGCGTTTGACCTTGCGGATTTCGCCTGTCTTGGCATAGTTGCGCAGCGCTCGGGCCAGCTTCTGATACGTCATGCGCTTGCGGTTGCCCTTCTGCTGGCCCCAGCGGCGAGCCAACAACTCCTTGTGCTTGGAGGAGAACTGGAAGACACCGGCACCTGGCTCCACCCACCACACGCACTCGCGCATGTCCCCGCGCAGGAGCAACCCCAGCAAGAACTGGTACAAGCGCAGCTTCTTGCGTGCACCTGCAGGGTGTTGGATACCAGCATTAAGAGGGGGAAGTCCGTTAAAGGAACCCCCAGAGCTACGGCCCCTTGCCACACTTTGGTTTCCACAATTGAGTTGGGTCAGGTTGGCTCGGACCTATTATTCCAACTACTCCAGAAGCTGAGGAAAGACCACCAAGTTCAAGATCAGCCTCGGTAAATTAGTGAGACTGTCTTTTAAAAGTAAGAGGGCTGGGGTTTGGCTCAGTGGTTGAGCCCCATGCCTGGTATCCCTCCAGTGAGTGAGGGAGTATAAATAAGATGACTAGTTTTATACATGGGAAACTGAGGTCCAACAGAGAATAATTTGATTGAAAGGTTATCAGGCACGGAGGTATAAGGAGAGGGGGATTGTGGGTATGTATTGGGTTTCCTTCGGCTGTTCCTGTGTCTTTGTGCACAATGGAAATCAAGGTACAGAAAGGCCGATGTCCTTGACCAAGGTCACACAGGAAACTTGGATCTGGAAACTTCCTTGGGAAGTATTAGTAATTGTTTAGGGAGCTCTGGTTCCTGCATCCTCTCCCCCACTCCCAGTCAGCATCCCCACTAAATCTCCACCCCACATACCTGCCTCAGATCCCCTCCCCTCGGAGCCAGCCAAGAGGGCCTCGTCTGACTCACTGTCCGAGACCTCCAGGGCAGGGCTGTCCAGGAGAATGTCTTCTTCCTCTGATAGCACAGGGCTGGAGTACGGAGCATAAGCCAAGGAGCCCAGGGTCTGTGGGAGACCAGGGTCACCTGCACATCACTCCCTCGGTCCTCCCCACCTCAGCCCAGGATTGCCTGCACGTCATTCTTGGTCCTCCCCACCTAGGTGGCTCTCACTACTTGGATCTACATCTTCCTGTACAGTGTGGACACTGGCCTTGGTTCTTGTCCCAATACACAGAGAGGCTGAGGCAGTTGCCCCAAGCTGTACAGCCAGTAGATGGCATGGGTTCTGAATTGATGTATACAGTAGGGAGCCCAGGGGACACTTGAGCTATCTTGGAAGGGTGTCATTGTATGCTCCCCACCCCCCCCCCCAATCCAGAAGTTCATTTCAGGGGTTGTATAAGAAGTGTGAAGTGAGAACTCTCCCTCCAAGCTGTCCCTGCTCCTCACCTGGCTGGTGAAGTCCTCTGAGGGGTATACCTGGAGGCCAGGCCCTGGGGCCTCCAAGCTGGGGGCTGGGTCAAGGGTCCCCACAGGGCTGTAGGTGGAGGGGCTGGGACCGTGACCATAACAGAGCTGCACAGCCTGGGAGTGGGCAAAGGCAGCTGTAGCAGGGTCGAAGGCTTCATAAGGAGCGATGGCAGGGGCAGGCGGGGCCTCTGTCCAACCCCATGTGGAGTCTGGGAGAAGGATCGGAGTTAGTAGCTGAAGGAGGTCAGAAGACCCACACCCTCAAGGTCCCACACAGAGGGGCCTTTGTAAGCTGTGCAAATCTCTGACCCCAGAATTTGCATGGGGGAGCAGATGGACGGGAGGAGGGGGAGGAGGTGGCTTGGGGAAGGGCTACCGTGCTGGGAGAGAGCTCCCATGAGCCTCAGATCACCCTCTGTGAACTGGACCCAAGGTGGTATGAAGCTGGGGTTACTCACCAAGGCCCCCATCTGAATCTGGGTAACTGAAGGGCTTGCAGCTGTCCAGGTCATAAAAGACACCTTCTGGGTACTGCCGGAGTGAGGACAGGGTCATCTCAGGCCTTGGAGACATTCCCTCCCCAACCTTGGGGAAGACTGACAGACAGGTGAGAGAAGGAAATGGGAAAAGAAACAAGTAGAGATACAGAGCCTATATCCATGAATAAGACACACCCAGAAGCCAGCATCTGCCATGGCTCTGACCCTCAAGGAAACCTAGTAGTTTCCAGTAAGCAACTGGTATGCCAGAAACTCACTCTGTAGCTCAGGCTGGCCCAGAACTGTTTAGCCTCATCCTCCGAGTATGAGGAACAGGCATTCACCACCTTCTTTAATCCAGGACACCAGTTCATCTCAACAAGTGTATGCTGCTTCAGCCATGGCCATTGCAGAGGCAGTGGAGACTAGACCTGAAGCAGGTGAGTACTACCCATTGACTCCTGCACATCCCTCCTGTTTAGGCAGGGGAGATGGAAGCCTGTATGCACAGAGCATCCTGAGGCTCTGCTCAGACCCCAGATCACAAGCATCTCAGCAAGAGGGACAAACAAACTATGGCCATTCTGACGGGCAGTGGATCATGCAGTAAAGGGAAAGAAAGGGTACCTAACACACCACGGAAGGAAAGAGGTCAGGTGTCCAAAAGACCTACATATGAGTCACTTTAAAGGTTCGAATGAACCAGTATAAAATACTGGATGAGACTGCCTGGGAAGGAACTCCAGAACAATGGGAAAAAATTTAGATCTGGGTCTGGTAATGGCTACAGAGGTATATACCATGACAACATTCACTGACGCACGCCCAAGAGATCAACTTTAAACAACCTACAAGTCAGGTGTCTCTCATGGACATCCCCAATACTCTGAGGGGCAGCTAGGGAGTCTGAAAGCCAGACAGGAGAAGTCCTGTACCAATCAAAACCAAACCAAACCAACACAGGCCAACGAAACTCAAAGCAGAAAGGGCTTCTCCACCACCATAGGAAAAGTCTCGTTGATAGGTTATAAGTTAAAAAATGTTGGGGAAAATGGTGTCCAAAATACTACAGTTAAAAGATATAAGATCCATAACCCCAAAGAAAGGGCTGTACAGGAAGAACACGGGGTAGACACTTACACAAAGTCATGGAAGTAGCCCCAAGTTTGAGAAAAATAGCAGAGAGGTGTGGTGGGGAAGGGGGTCAGGGGAGACAGAGAGACAGAGACTGGAAACTGAGGCAGAAGTAGGTGATCTTAGTAAGGTTAGCTCCCATGGGCCATGCTAGGCTGCTCCATCCCCAGGGGCCTCCAACTCACCAAACAGTTTAAGTGTGGGCCATCCAGCCTGGCAGGAGAGAGACACAGGGGCATGTCAGGGCCGCCCTCAGCCACCTGAGTCTCAAAGTGGTTGTGGGGCCCAGAGGGGAGGTAGTGGCAGCTGTGATCACCCACCACAGCTCTGCAGTCTGTAGGCTGTCCCTGTGTGCACCCAGCCTCTCCCCCCACCCCAATCACCCCACACCCCTATCGGGACAGGAAGTAGGGGGCGGGTGCCAGGCAAATGTCCCCCACTCTCCCTGGGATTTGCATGCACAGACACTGGGGGAGGCAGGGAAAGTAGAGGAGAAAGTCCCCAGACAGCTGGGGACAGGGTGGTCAGAGGACTGCGTTTGAGCGTTTTAGTAAGTCTAGCTGAGACTAGCAGGCGCAGCAATGAACTGAAGAGCCGGGCTAGAAAGGAACACAGTAAGAGGGGTGAACAAGGAAGCGCATTTCTTGTGCCCCAGGATGGGCAGCCAGGGTAGAACCAGGAACCAAAGGCAATGGCTGGACAGAAGAAACCAGAGACAGACAAAACTCAAGGTACAGAATGCCAGAAGAAGAGCCGTGCAACACTGTCGAGGACAGATGGCACACCTGGGAGGACCTAGGCAGGGTAGGAGTGTCTCCAGAACATGCCATCTTTGGAACCCTGCCTAGGAAGACAGTGCTGATGGAGAACTGTCTTCTGATGGAGAATAACCCCTTTATCACCTGCCTCTGGGTGCCACAGAAGCTGAGGATGCTGAGTGGCATGGGGGTCCCAAGAACAGGTTTGGGGGTTACCCACTTACTGTGCAGCCTCCAGAGCAAGCATGGTGGTTCAGGGCAGGCTAGGCTGTCTCTGGCCACCACTCCTATATATATTTGGCCCATCCCCCGCCCACCCCACCCCCCAGGGGCGGGCCATGGGGGCCCTCCTCAAAAATCCCCTCTGGGAGGGGTCTGGATTGCACAACCCTCTGGTCACATGGCAGGGAGGGTGGGCCTAGGAGCCATTTGGATTTGGGGATCCCCACCATTGGGGATGGAAGATTGACACGGAGAAGTGAATTACTGAGAAAGGGGAGAGAAAAGGACTTGTACGCCCTAGAGATAGGATGCCAGAGGGACCAACAGTGACCAGGGCAGGATGGCAGGGCGCAGTCAGGCCCAAGGACGGCTGTAAGGACTGACAGGGAACCTCCACAGGCAGATAGACCACCAGGACTCTATGGTGGAAGCACCTCTGTGGTTGTGGCGTGACAGGGAGGTCTCCACACTGCCCCAAGGTGTGGAAGCCTGTGTGCTAGGGGCTGCCCCAGGCCTGGAGGAGAAGACAGCACCTGATGCCAGCTGGGCAACCACCAGTCCCCTGGGGAGGGGCAAGACAGAGTAGTAGGGTCCCATTCTAGGTTTCAGAGGGAAAACTGAGAGATGCTAGCCCTGTGTGACACAAGCAGAGGCACTGGAGCTCCGGGGGTTGTACAGAACGTCCTGTACCATGAAACCCAACCTCTTCCCAAAGACCACAACACACAGCCACTAGCAAAACGTCTGAGCTTTATTCTCTGTCCCCTGTCAGGTCACCAGGCCTCTGGGCCCGGTGGTCCAAAGCGCTGCAGCAGCCGCTCCTGGTCTTCCAGGTCCTTGCGCACCTTCTTGCGCATGTAGAAGATGGGACAGTCACGGCTGCGGAGGAGGATGGTGGTCAGGGGCTGTTCCCAGGACTTTGACCCCTACCTGCCGCCCACCCAGGGGAGGGGGCTGTTTGCTTAGTGGGCACGGGGAAGCCGATAACAGCAGTACCGAGGTAGCCAGCCGTGTATCAGCTGTCACCTGTCGTGGGAACCTGCCCCACCCGCCTGTTCCCTGGGGAAAGCCCGGCCCCACCCTGGGGAGACCAAGCCCAGGCAGACCCTGCCCATTCTGCAGTGAGGTCCCACAGCTGGGTCAGAAGTCTGGTGGCAGGATGGGGAGGGCACACCTGGTACAGATGACATCCTCATGCAAGCTGCCCTGGCAGCGCTGGCACTGTGTCCAGAGGCGAGAGAAACGTTCCTCCAGGGCATTCAGGTGTGACACCTGGGGACACAGTGGCTTGAGCACAGCCATGGGGTTCAGGCATGCTCCACCCTGCCTCACTCACCTCCCTTTTTTTTTTTTTTTTTTTTTTTTTTTTTTTTTTTTTTTTTTTTTTGTGGTTTTTCGAGACAGGGTTTCTCTGTATAGTTCTGGCTGTCCTGGAACTCACTCTGTAGACCAGGCTGGCCTCGAACTCAGAAATCCGCCTGCCTCTGCCTCCCTAGTGCCTGGGATTAAAGGCGTGCGCCACCACCTCCCGGCACTCACCTCCTTCTGATAGAGCTCCGACTCCCGTGGCTGACAGAACTTACACACAGCTCCTGGGGATGGGAGTGGGGGTGTCAGCATAGAGGTGCTGGGACCAAGCCAGGTCCTAGTCTCCATCCCTGCATCTCTGTTCTCCACCCGCTGCCCATCCCGGCTTCTGAAAGTCCCCAGAGGCAAGAGAACAAGGGCCCAAGTGTGTGGGGAAAACTCCCCTGGGGAACCCCGGGGCGGGCGAGGACCCTCCACTGGAGTACAGGCAGAACGGAGTCCTGAGGCAGGGCCCCACCAGTGGGTATAAGGGCTGTAACTCGGGTCTTACCTTGATGGTCGATTACAGAGCGGCAGCCAATGCAACAGTTGCGGCGCTTGGTGAAGGCCAGGAGGCCACCCACCTTGCTGGTGAGCACGGTTTTGCAGCGTGTGTGGTCACCGCCTACAGGAGGGGAGCAGAATGGTCTTGTACCTGCCTCTGTCCCCTCCCCACCCACACTCCCTTCCCGGGGTCCGACTTACGCAGCAGCACTGACTCTGCACGGCCCTCACCCAGAATGGGCTCAAAGATGCGCAGTAGTGGCTTGGCCAGCTGCTGCTCCAGGTAGTACTGAGTATCGATGGGCAGGCTGTGCTCCAGCACAAAGAGGGGGTCCTGTGGGCGGGCCAGGGTCACCAATGGCTGCAGAGGGGCATGGGTAGGGGCTAGGGAGCTAGAGAGCTGCAGACAACACCTGTAGGCTATGGTAAAGGGCCTGGAGCTGGGCCTCTGGTCTAGGTGGGGGCTCTCAGTTCACCAAGAGTCAGTTTCCCCATGGGAAAAGGGCCATGGAATGGGGTCAGAAGTATCAAGGCTGAGAATTGGGTGGTGTGGAGATGACAAAAACAAATAGAGCTGGCACCCAGGGTGGGGAGGGGTGGAGAGGGCACAGCAGCCAACTCTGCACAGGGAGGCACTACACTAAGTGTGGCCCAGGGGCCTGACCGCCCAGAGGAAAGCAGAAGTGAGATTCTGGGAGGAGCACAGCCCAGATGGGCCTGACCTCCGACTTCATGTAGGCGGCCACACCCTTGGCGGCACCGATGATCACATAGGGGACTCGGTCGCCCAGGCTGGGCGCGCTGCCGGGGTCGCGCTTCCTCATCCTGTGGATAGGGGAGTTGGATGAGGTTTGGGGAGGGCAGAGTGCACCCAGCTGCAGGAGGCTGTGCAACTGCCCACCTCTCGGCCAGCTCCACATGAGCCTGCTTGCCAGCGTAGTCTGCTGCTGCGCGGGTCAGCTCTTTGGTGATGACCAGTTGGGAGATGTCTATTCGGTTGCACAGCAGGTCCGAGATGACGTCCTTCGCATGGGCTACTGCACCGTCAGGGTCCCTGAAGGAGAGGGTGTCACCAGGCACCACTCGGGACGGGGCTGCAACGTTTACCAGCTGGGATCTAGGCATCATGCACTATGGGCTGATACTGGGCTTGAGGTTAAGTACAGAGGCGGGAAAGGCCACAGGCAATCACAGCTGTCAGCCTGACCACTGCCCCACCCCCAAGCCACCTGTGTTCCCAAAGTGGGGCATGAGGGTGCAGGCCCTTGGGTCTAGGTGGGACACACACACACACACACACACACACACACACACACACACCGATCCACAAGGATCCGGCGCAGAGAGGATGTAACAAGGTTGGCCACCAGTGGACAGTTGTCCCTGCGCACTGCCTCTAGGCCCTTGCAGTCCATTCTGTCATGGGCGTCAGAGCTGGAGGAGAAGAGCAGGCCAGCATAGCGCTTCTTGCTGATGAGCAGGTACGGAAAGTAAACCTGGAAAGGACCCATGGGTGGTGAGCCTGTGCACTTTCCTTCGCCCCGAATCCCGAGACCCATCAGAAACACAACAGGCAAGGAAGGGCTGTTGTCCTTGGTGAAATGAATCCTAAGGCCCAATACTCTCCAGCACCCCAGAAACCCACATGACATAATGCTCGCCCCTAAATTATGAAATCCAGACAGGTGACAATGTAAAGTCTTGTAGCCATGGGAGGAGACAGGATCAAGTGAGTCCTGAGCTGAGATGGCCCTGGATGAGCAGATGTTTGAGCAACTGGTGAGGACTGGAGCCACACACATGCAGATCCTAAATGTACCACTGGTCTGCACAACAGAGGTCTGCCTCAGCTAGAATCCACAACACTCCAAGACTTCCAGCCTGAGGATCCCCACACTAATGCACTGTCATAAGAGACTGTCACTAATTAATAAGACCCCTAATGTCTCCACTGAGCTGAGTACAGGGGATACACGTACCTTCTCAAACTCCAGCCGGATGGGTGAGGGGAAGTGACTGGATACCCAGTTTGCAGCCTCCCGCCCCAGAGACATTGCCTCAGCCACAGAGGAGACACCAAACCGGCACATCACAGAGTCAGTGTCACCGTAGACCACCTGCCAGGGTATATGTGTGAGGGATGGCTTGTCTCAACCCAGGAGCGGTCATGGAAGCCCAGGTACCCTGGAGAGCGGACAGATGTGATCAGGCCTGACCTTGGCGTTGGCATCGTAGCCATTTTCCAGGGTGTACTTGGACTCCACTAGCTGCTTGGTTTTCTCAATCATCTGCCGCCCGAACCCAGTGACACTCTGTTAGGGGTAAAACCAGGGAGGATGAGAGCACAGAAGCTGTACGCAGCAGATCCAGCTTGGGGAGGACACGCCCCTGACACTTTCAAGCATCACCAACCGAACACTGTCAGCCTATCAAACAGGCTAGTGCTGCTCCAAAGGGTGCATATTCTCAGAGGACAACGAGCCATTTCCTCCCTGGGAATGCAGCCAGGGTCTCATGCAGAGTAAGCAGAGGCTTTACCACTGGGCCATACCCAGCCCCTCACTGGAGGATTTTAAGAAGGGGCTGTACCATTGAGCTATTATCCCCAGTCTTCTTTTTATTTCAAGAGAGGGTGTAAGCCACCTAGCTTTGAACTCCCTGAAGCCTAGACGGGCCTCTCGCCTCAGCCTCACAGCCTCACAAGTAGATGGAAGTATAGGCTGACATCACCACACCCTGATGTCTGTGCCATTTTACAGTTGGGGATAAGGCTGGCTGGGTACTGGGGCGTGACAAGCAGAATGCTCTCTGTCTGCCTGGGTTTCATGAGGTCATGGGACATCTGAGGAACCCACATCTGACTTGTCTTCTGTGCACCTGCTCTGTGCTTTTCTTCACATTTTATCTGGAATGACTCAGTAGCTTCCTATCCCATCAGAGGCATGAGAGGCAGAGACGGGGTTCTCAGTGGCTCCTTTGACCCAGAGACCCAACACCCACCCCATCTCTGTGGGATGCTAGGAGTGAGGATGGCAAGCAGGCAGGCAGGCAGGCAGGCAGGCAGGCAGGAGGTGATTGTAGCAGAGGTGGGTCTGGCTAGGGGCCCAGCTCCTGGGAGACACCCTCTGAGTGCCTGGGCATCCTTCCAGGCAATCAGCTTCCCTGAGCCCTTGAGT